ATGTATTAAATACTTAATTTAAATACAATATTATAGACTTTAATTTGGTTAAATTATATAATTGTGACTATTATTAACTTTGAGTAATTAGTTGTAAAATTTTAAACATTTTTTGTGAAATTAGTAACTTTACAATTTTACATATTTCTCGAAAACTACCCAATCAATATAATGTATTAAATACTTAATTTAAATACAATATAATAAACTTTAATTTGAGTGAAATTATATAATTGTGACTATTATAAATTTTGAGTAATTAGTTGTTAAAATTTGAATCATTTTTTGGTAAATTAGTACCTTTATAATTTTACGTATTTCTCGAAAACTACCCAATCAATATTATATATTAAATACGTATTTTAAATATAATATTATAGACTATATAATATTATAATATTATAGAGTTGAATCATATAATTATAACTATTATTAATTTTGAGTAATTAGTTGTTAAAATTGAATATTTTTTTTTACATATTAATTACAATATTATAAGGATTCAAATTAGTTTATTTATAAAGTTATATGATTATAAGAAAATGATGTTACATTTTTCTCCTTTAAAAAAACATTATAGTAATTTACTTGTAATTATCGCAATTCGCTAATGAATATGGATCAATGAATTAATTAATCTTGAAACATTCTTTGCAATAAAATGTATAAGAAACCTTCAATAGTTACATATACAAAAATAGCACAACGAGATGTTCTCTTTTATTGTCTATTCAACATCTGTTGCACAAAACAAAGCGTTTGTTGTACGATTTGTATCGATCAAAACCGAAAATTTCGCTTGATACCATTTCCAGTTTGCGGCAATCGTCGATTAATATAGATTGATTGTGCAGCACCGATGATATTCGGATGAGCGAACCGCAATTAACGGATCTGCAAGTGTAATTCTATGGCTTTGTTTGAATCACCGCTTGATCCGGTTAATCGCGTTTCCAAGTGGGTTACACAGATATATCTGGGACGATCATAAGAGTGGCGCAGGGACAAGCGCAATTGCAACCCATTACGACTTAATCTGCTTGCACATTAACATTCGTAAGAAAGAAAGGAAAAAAAAGAGGAAAAAATGTACAAAAGTGTGTTTCTTAAATTAATCCCATTTATTGTTTTTGGGCACAAAGCGGAAAAGTTTCGGAATGAAACCGAAAGAAGCAAAGTGAGAGGATTAAATGGAAAGGAAAGGTATGAGCATTCCTTTCGCGGTTCTGCGCGCAACAAAAAAATTAGTTTTTGCATTATTTTTCTTGAATTTTTTTTGTGTGTTTAATTGTAATTATAATTACACGGACCGGAGCCATTAATTCACGTTTATTTTGTTCCTCTTGAATGCGACATTTTCCACCCAACATTTCTCGACGCGAATTTTATTGTTTTTCTACAAAAGAATTTAATTTAATTATATTTTTTTTGTTTGTTTATTATTTAATTATTTTTTTTTTATCAGAATTTATTCAAATTGAATTTCGAACAGTTCAACGCATTCGAAACGATGCATAATTCATAATAATGGATATTATTTGTGAAATATGATATAAATGTCAAACGTTTTTAGAAGAATAAAATTAATAATTAAATTTATTCCTGTTATAATTAATATTGTCCGAGCGTTTTTAATGGAATCAATTAATTTTTATTTATTTAATTTCATTTCCGAATTCTATAGAAAAAAAATCATATATATTTAATTGTTGGCGTAAATCAAAGAAAAAAAATGAGTTTTATATAAATTAGTTTAAATGAGAAATATTCATTTATATAATTATTGATTTCTTGTATACAAAGAATGAATTGTTCGATGATCTTTTATCATCTTTCTTGAAACTTCATGATTCTTCGCTCATAAAACGCAGCAAAAAAACTGAAGCAATTGAGATTTCAGGTTATTGAAGTTTTACCATTCAAAGAGTTTTGAAAACTTCGAAGTAAATGGTAATTTGATGGTGCAAGGTCATGGCTATATAAAAGATGCGACATTACTTTCCAACTAAGCTCCAATAATTTTCTACGAGTTATCAAAGTAGGATTTAATAATCTGGCCTTTTTTCATTGATTGTTTTCTTCAGTTTCATTAGTTATTAACAATAAACATCTGAATTGATCGTTTGTTACCTTGGTTACAGTTTAAAATACACAACACTTTTGTAATCTCACCAAACTAATAACAATTTTTTTGATGCATTTCAGTTTTTGATTTGATTTGAATCATGATCGTTTTCGATTAATCTTCTTGAAAACAATCCACTTTTCGTTACTAGTTTAAAAAATTGACTATTTCATTAAATTTTAGATAGATATTACAAATATTGATGCGATATGTTAAGTAATTCTTTTTCGATCGATATTCTCGATGATGAGTTCAAGACATTTTCAGTTGTTGTGTGTGAAGAACTTTTCACTAAATATTAAATAAAATATTTCTCTATGATTTATTAGTAATTTAAATGCGATTTTAATAGTTTCAAAGATGTTTTGATAGATTTTTGATGTTTGTGGGGGAGAAACAAAGTTGATCAAAGTTATCCTTGTTGGCTAATGGGAATAAACGAACAACAATGGAAGGTGGACAAAAAAAAAGAATGACGGACCGGAAGGAAACGGAACTGTTAATAATAAAACGTCGAAATCGAGTTTCAAAGTTTGTCCGAATCTTGAATGAATTACTTTCCTCGTTACATTCTTAGAAAAACTTTGCTACAACAAAACGCACTTACATTAGAATGATAGAGGAAGTTAAACAAAGAACAAAAAATGGAAAACACGATGATTATAATAACGAAAATCGTAATTTAATCGACTGAATTCTTGAGCGTTGCGACATCGTTTTTACTTAATTAATTCGTTATAATTGAAATCATTGTAACAAATTTGAAATTTTAACTTGTAAATCTTTTAATAAAGCCTACTGGCATCTTCATAATGCAGCTAAGTCACCTGCTAAGAGCTGTAGAATTTGGAAAAAAAGTGAATTGAATTTACCCAAAAACTGGATTTTCATTAATAACTCGAAAACTAATGAACTTTTTTATGATTTTATTGCATAATCACATGCATGCAAGCGTTGCGCAACTTTTTATGTAACAAAAGTTGCATAATGTTCGCTTCGTAACAGAGAAACGACGTTTTTTCGATTTTTTTCAGTTTTTCCTGAATTTCTCAACAATCCCTCAAGATAATTACATCATCGACCACTCATATGAAAGCTGCATGTCTCACCTTTCCAACGCGCCTACATACATCTTTGTTGTGTCATCGAGTCGTCTGCTATGACCTGTAGAATTTGGAAAAAAAGTGAATTGAATTTGCGCAAAAACTAATGTTTTCAGTTTTTCGATAATAACTTGAAAATTAATAAACTGTTTTATGATTTTATTGCATAATCAGATGCACGCAAGCGTTGAGCAACTGTTTATGTAACAAAAGTTACGTAATGTTCGTTACGTAACAGAGAAACGACGTTTTTTTCGATTTCTTTCAGTTTTTCCTGAATTTCTCAACAACCCCTTAAGATAAT